TCACAATATTTTTAAGAGGCAAGAGGCTCGACACTGAAACCTTGATGTTTCGAAACTAGTCGCCATAGACTAATTTTAGGATTGACGACGTAAGGTATATAACCTATTTAATCTGTCTCTGACGATTAGGTTAAGAAATATACAATCCTAAAATGCTATGGGATGGGAGGGAAACAGGTCCGCGACGTAGGAAGTGGTGAAGGAAGTAGTAAAGGTAAGCGGTCCAGAGTGTGGGAACTGTTTATGACGATTAGATTAAGGTATCTACAATCTTAAAATGCTATGGGAAGGGAGGGAAACAGGTCCGCGACGTAGGAAGAGGTGAAGGAAGTAGTAAAGGCGAGCAGTGTGGAGTCTGGGAACTGGAAACCAATTGTAACAGTTAGATTTATGTATCTGCAATTGAATTACTGAAATGATATGAGAAGGGATGGAAACATGTCCATGAAGTAGGAAATGGTCAAGGAAGTAGTAAAGGTTGGCATCACAGAGTGGGGGAAAGATTTTCCCCGAGCAAAGCTCGGTCCCCAGGTACTTGTGTTTAACTTAGAAACAATTAATGGATTACGAAATATCAGATAATTTTTTTATGTCTGATGTTAGTAGTTTTCCCAGTGTGATAAAAGTATAGTTTACTACTAGTTTTAAAAGATACCTATTTGTGGTGAGATAGTGTTTAAAAGAGCATGGTAAACACATTAAAAATACACTATAACTGTACTAAAAATAAAAATTATATCCATTAAATAATATATATTCCACTTCAAGTTAAAAACGAGACCATCATATACTTTTTCTTTCAACTTGTTGAAATATGTCACTTAAGTTTGGCCACTTGATACCACACTCGCCCGCCATTGCAAACAAATGTTATTTATCTACTGTACTTAATTAAAACTGTTCACCTTAATAACTTATATATTAAAAATATTTAACTATCATTAAAATATATATAACGACAAGTCAACTAAGAAATACTTGGGCCAAAACAAATGAATTAACACCTGTCACGGTCAGTTTATGAACATCGACTGAAGTGAAGACAATGTTTTGACACTTAACATTACAATTACTGTACATATCAATCCCTAAACAAACATTCCCCCTTCCCACACTTCGGTGCTTGGGGTGTTGTTATTGGCTGCCATTGTCCCGCCCCCCCGGGTCCGCTGCATACCAAAGCAACTGGACTTTGACTTTCTCTTTCTCCACCCCCACGTTGTTTGTCAACAAGGGCGCTGACCTCTCACGTACTCACGCAACCCTCACTGAACACATAAAATAAATAACCCGTATTGGAAATACTTTCGCCTGAGCAAAAAACTAACGATGTAAAACTAGCGAATATATTATCTATTCATTGGCTATAAAACTAACTGAGTAGAAGTTATTTCCAGCTCTTTTAAAAACTGAAAAAACGAACGAATAGCGCTATTCGTTAGAATTTCTATTCGTTATTCCCAAGTATGATGTCCGGTGATACTGATACTGAGCGCTAGTGTTGACAAAATTTTGTTTCCATTGTTTTAGGGTTAGTTTCATTATTTATGCTTGACTGTTTGGTTATAAAACTAGGGAACGAATTATTGTTTATAATTACTTACTCTTACTCCCATGGCCATTTGTACCCCAAGTGGTACTTGGCCTCACCAACACACTGTCTCCACGTCGCCCTGTCTCTTGCGGTATCTTCATTAACTTCCATCCTGGTCATATCTTTCTTTACTTCATCCGTCCAGCGTTTCCTCGGTCTCCCTCGTGGTCTCCTCCCCAGTGGGTCACTTTTCCATATTTGATAAAGTGTGCTAGCTTCCTCTCTTCTAATGATGTGGCCCGTCCATCGAAGCCTCCTGCTTTTAGCCTCTGCAATTATATCTGGCTCCTTGAACAGGTCTCTTAGTTCCTGATTATGTTTAATTCTCCACACATCTCCTTCTTTAGTAGGGCCAAAGATTTTGCGCAGGACTTTATTTTCAAAAGTAATAAGTTTTTTCTCTGTGTTTTTATCGATAATCCAGGTTTCAGCTCCATAGAGAAGGACAGGTCTTATGATAGTTTTGTAAATTTTAAGTTTAGTGTGATGAGACAATAATCTTGATGATAATAATTTGTTTAGAGCATACATACTTCTACTGGCTAGGTTTATTCTATTCTTTATTTCTATGTGTTCCTCACTTTGTGAGCTGACAATAACTCCTAAATATTTAAAAGACTCAACTTGTTCATACTGTTGTTCTATTTCTGTCATGTTCTCCTCGTTCTCTGCTCCCCTTCCAAATTTGACAAGTTTTGTTTTGTTGTAATTTATTTTCAGGCCCACTGCTCTTGTTTCTGTTTTAAGGATTTCAAACATTTCCTGGAGTTTTTCTCTGGTTTCTGCAAGCAGTACTACATCATCTGCAAAGGCGAGCACGCTTATCTTCCTTCCAATTCTTATGCCATATTCTGTATTCTTCAGCTCTTTAAGTGCTCCCTCAAGAGCTATATTGAAGAGTGTAGGTGATATAATATCTCCCTGCCTAACTCCTGTTTTTATGTCAAAGGATGTTGAGTAGTCATTTTCTATCTTAACCTTGCTCTTAGAGCCATTAACACTTAAAGTAGCCAATTTTATTAGTTTATCTGGAATTCCAAAACTTTCCATTCTATACCAAATTTGTTTCCTATGAATGCTATCATACGCTTTGCTAAAATCGATAAATAGGCCATAGAAAGATTTACCAAAGTCCCAATATTTAGCTATTGCTTCCTTAAGAATGTAAATTTGATCTGTTGTGGACCTGCCTCTTTGAAAACCAGCCTGGTGCTCTTCAATTATTTCCTCTGTGTATTCCTCAAGTCTCTTCTGGATTATCTTGGACATTACCTTATAGGAAGTACTTAGTAATGATATTCCTCAGTAGTTATTTAGGTCCCATTTATGACCCTTTTTGTGGATTGGGATTATTATTGCATTTCTCCAATCTTCCGGTACATTTTCTTCCTTCCATACTTGTAATATTAATTTATGTAACCTTTTTGCTAGTTCAGGTCCTCCAGCTTTCAATATTTCAGCACTTATTCCGTCGTCTCCAGGGGCTTTGTTGTTTTTCATATTCTTAATAGTTTCCTGTACTTCTTCTACAGTCGGTGCTTCAATGTTTGGTTGAACATTAATTTATTTTGGAGCATTCACTCTATCAGTGTCCTCATCTCCATTTAATAAATCTTGAAAATAATCTTTCCAGATATCTAACACTTTGGATTTCTCAGTGACAATTTCTTCATTCTTCTTAACACCATAAGAATTGGGATTGTATCCTCCACTAAATAGTTTGACTGTCTTATAGAAACTTCTAGGATTCTTATCACTTTCGTTTTGTGCTTTCTCTAGAAGACTATTTACATATTGCCTTTTTTAAACCTTAGAAGTCTAGTCGTCTCTTTACAGGCATCGGTATATCTTCTCTTATTTCCATCATTTGGATTTGCTAACCAGATTTCTTTGAGATCTTTTCTTTCTTTTATTTTATGTTGACATTCGTCATCAAACCAGGGTTTCTTTTTCGGCCTCTTTGCTTTTCCACATACTTCTTTTGTAGTTTCTTGCACTATCGTTTTAAAAGTATCCCAGTTGTTTTCCAAAGTATTCTCTGTGTCTTCTAGGATTCTGAACCGATTTTCCAACTTCAGACGGAACTCATCCACAACCTCTTTTTTCTTCAGTTTTCCGATGTCCCATCTTTCTACCTGACTAGAGTTTTTCCTCTTTTCTACCGCTATGCGCTGCTTTACTTTTACTAATATTAAATAGTGGTCTGACCCACATTCTGCACTTCTGAGACTATGAACATCTAGGATGCTTGATTTGTGTCTTTGGTCAACAAGGACATGATCAATTTGGTTTTTAATTGAACCATTTCGAGACACCCATGTTTCCTTGTGTATGTTTTTGTGTGTAAACACAGTGCTTACTACTTTGAGATTCATTACTTCACTAAAACTAAGGAGTCTTACTCCGTTATCATTGGTAACTTCATGAAGGCTATGCTTACCAGCAACTACTTCCCATATGCTTTCCTTGCCAATTTTTGCATTGGCATCCCCCAGGACTATTCTAAGGTCATACTTTGGTAACTTAGATGTTAATGCTTCAAGCGATCCATAAAATATATCTTTTTCTTCTCCATCTGCTTCTTCTGTTGGTGCGTAGATACTAACTATAGACATATTTCTAAATTTACCCTTAATTCTAATATTGCACATACGCTCGTTGAACGAGTTAAAGGCTATCACAGCATTGGCCCATGTTTTTTTATGGCAAAACCTACTCCTCCATAATATCTTCCATCGTTTGAACCACTATAGTAAACAATATAATCTTTGGTATTGATTCTTCCTGCTAGTGGCCATCTTGTCTCTTGGAGAGCAACTACATCCATGTTGTATTTATTTAGCTCATTTGCTAGGACGTCCACTGCACCAGGTATTGCTAGGCTTCGTACATTCCATGTTCCCATTCTCAAGTCCTTCTGACATAGCCGGGTCTTGTTCCGATTAGTTCCATCCTGATCCGAGACTGTATGTTGGTGATTCGTAACAGAATTTTTTTTACGAGGTGGGTTGTCGGCCCAACGCACTCCCAACCTGGAGGACCAGGGTATCCCTTCTTGTCTGGCTCCTACCTCACGAAGACCTGTCTGGCAAGGGAGGCCCTACCAGTAGCTACGCTACCGCCGGCATAGCTCTCGAGGTTGTCAGAGCACGCAAGCCCCACCGCCACTCCAAGGCAAGGATACCATCGGGGGGTTGTTTATAATTAGAGTTGTTTATAATTAGATTGTTTTATTTGATTGAAAAAGGTTTTAAATTACTGAAATAACAAGAAACAAATCGTAAATAAAACACAAACTCTACAGTGAACCGGACGGAACTAACAAGTTTTATGAAATAACTTAATGTAACTGATACTGTGCAATTATCTTGTTTGTTTCTAAAATGAAAAAAATATATATTTTAAGGATGAACCCACCACTGGAATGGATCCTAAGTCCAGAAGGTTCTTATGGAGTTGCATACAAGATGTGAATCGTCAAGGTATGAAAACAAATATATGTAAATAATAGAAGGTAGATTTTCGTCCTATATTTGGAAAAATCTCAGTTTTATGCCGTGTAACTGTTTAAAACTACTATGGAAGCTAACTGAACTATATTCCTTTAAAATATTTTAAATCTACCTAAATTCAAAGTTTAGGGATACTTTTGTTTTGAAAATGTAATCACTTCTATTGCTATAACATATTAAATTGATTTATCATATATAAAATATTTTTCATATTTTATATATTTGATATGGTTGTTGAATGAAGTACAGGCATTACATATGTTACAGGACGTTCTGTTATCCTCACCAGTCACAGTATGGAGGAGTGCCAAGCCCTGTGTACCAGACTCACCATCATGGTCAATGGAGAGTTCAAGTGCCTGGGAAGCTCACAGCACCTCAAGTCCAAGTCAGTTTTAGTTACTTTATTATGATGAGCAGTATTAGATTTTGTTAAGCATTATTTTCAAAGAATCCATCAAGTATTAATAAGGATTTAACTGTGTAATCAAATTTTAACGGGGTTGGAAGCAGGTGAAATTTTATGACCTGTGGCCAGTGACTATTTTGAGTTCTGATTGTTCCAGATGAAAAAAATACTGTAGATTTAAAATTGTTTATGCTTCCTGGTTTTTACCTCTAAAATTTACAACACCCTATAACATAAATAAAGTTGGTATTGTAACTCATATTACATATTACAACTCATAGTATCACATTGTAGATACAGTAACCAATCAAGCTGACTGACAATAACACAATGTCCAGTTCAGGACTTTTTGTTGGAACATTTATGGTCCTGCCTTTTCCTAAATCCAGCCAGCCGCCTGTTTAAACCAGCCTGTTTAAACCAGTCGAGAGACTATTGTATATAAATAAAATAAGGGGATTCAAAACCAATTGAATGGCTAGAGGTGTAGAGGAAGGTTCACTGGTTATATTGTTTGATGCAGGTATGGGGGCGGGTACAGCTTGATAATGAGATGTCAGACAGGCAAGGCAGAGCAAGTGGAGGAGTTTGTCAGAGACAACTTGTCGTCTGCAAGCCTGGTAGAGGCCCACTATAATCAGCTGAGATATCAGCTGACTGCTCCACTAGACCTGGTTTTCCAAACCATGGAGGAGGCCAAGCAGTCTGGACTAATCCTGGACTTCTCCGTATCACAAACAACTCTAGAAGAAGTAAGACAATATATATTAAATTCAATGTTTATCTAAACTTAATCATGTGATTGACTTAATATATCTTGTAAAGTTCATTTAAGTCAAATAACTTCCACCCAAAACGTCTAAATGTTGTGAACAGACTATTAAGTGAAATTATTTGTTGTTTATGTTTAGGTCTTTCTGCGGTTTGCTAGTGAACAATCGGATGCCATGAAATCAAAATCAAATGTTTTTAGGAATGTACGACGAGCCATTGTACTTCAGTGTAATAAGTGCTGTAAAGGTGAGTTGATGAAACATGGTCAGCTTTGTTTAGTAATCTCTTGTTATGTAACTAAATGTGCCTCATAAAATAAAAAGTTCAACCCTTTTTTTCTCAAAAGGTTGTGTAGCCTCAAGATTACTTTGTCATACATAAAATGGTCTGTCTCAATACCATAGGTATTTTTTGTTGTTGTAGTAGTAACTAGTTTTGGTTCTTATCTTATATTATAAAGATAGTTTTATGAAAATATGATGAAAGTAATATATTTATTGATTCAAGTCTCTTTAGATAATCAAGCTAGCTCTACAAAAAAAGTCTGTTTAGATGCGTTTGATCTAATCAAAATTCAACGTAATGAAAAACTCCAGTGAAGAACAGAGATTTTAAAAACAAATCTATTTCGCTGTTGCATTAGGTCAAATTTTCATTACCTCAAAAAGGATACTCCATTCAAAAGTAGTCTGTCCTTAACGCATGCCAACAAAGGTGGGAAACAGGAAACAGCTAGGTGACATAGTCATGGACGATTTGTGATGGCATTTAGACAGTTTAGACAAATAAGATATAATATTGTTGTTATTCGTTTCTACGTGATAGTTTTGTCTTGCCAAAACAGTCACACCTTAATTTTCTTTAGATAACCCAGCCAACAACATGTTATTAGTCCAGGAATCATGAACATGTTTGTAACTTAGTTATTGTTTCAAGATTATTGGCTCTGAATATTAATTACAGTAATTCCTACAGATTTATTAATTAATATTCAGGGGGTCATCATCATTGCCACTCAAGATTGGAGCCAAATTTAGAACAGAATTTCACTTGAATGAAATAATGATGAACGATTTATTTAACATAACGTAAAATAAAAAAATAAAAACTAGATTTTGTCCCTTCCTACTTACGGCAATTAAGCATTTGATTAAAACTAAATATAGTTCAGAACAGCTAGTTTACACACATAATTAGGGAAAATCATCTTGTAAACAAATACCACAAGACCACATATTTCTTTCATCCATTTATAGGCCTATACGATATGTATTTTAAATCCGATACTTTTACAATAAATCTGTAATTTTGTTGATATGAAAAGCCTTGAAGTAGATTGGCGGTCGATTCTCACACACTGGTTTAAAGTACTGAAGCTACACCACCTTCCATAGTATACTATCACTTACATTGTACGTTATTTTACCTCAGTGGCCACTGAAACCTTAAGAGAATTTTGGCCTCCCATTATCTTCTATCCCTTGCCTCTTTCTAATGTTGATCCCAAATCAAATCAAATCAAATCAATTTATTGACACAAATAACGTTACATTGGGTGCTTATAGCAGTAACTGGTGTCTTGTCAATTACATAAATCTTAATAATAAAATACAATGGAAAAAACATTTTACATAAAACATAGAAGATTACAATAACAATAAAAATGTACAATGACTAACCCAAGGAGGTGTCTGCTAAAAAGTCTGAGATGGAATAATAAACCTTATCCAGTAGAATTTCTTTAATTTGAGCGGAGTGAGCGGAGCGAGCGAAGCTCTTATACGTCGACTTTTATGCATTTCGTAATACGCAAACTCCTCCTAGACGGCTGAATCAATCGTTTTCAAATTTTGCATGGTGATAAAGACCATATCGGTGAGTGCCAACATCTATATGGCGTTAAAAAAGTCTCTCAGGAATCCGCCCCACTGGGTCTCAAAGTTTCAATGTAATCCTTATGGAAGCAGTAATTGACACATAAACAAAGACATATGATCAGCTGTTGACTTTTGAATGCAGTAGATAAATAAATAGCTGTTAGAATTATTCCACAGACATTAGAACATAAACGGTAGTATGGATCATAAATATAATCAAATGACGACACGAGCTTGAGGTCCGTGACGTAGGAAGTGGTGAAGGAAGTAGTAAAGGTGAGCAGTCTGGAGTGTGGAAACTGTTTATGACGATTAGATTTAGGTAGGTATCTGCATTCCTAAAATTCTATGGGAAGGGAGGAAACAGGTCCGCGACGTAGGAAGTGGTGAAGGAAGTAGTCAAGGCGAGCTGTTCGGGGTATGGGATCTGTTTATGACCATTAGATTAAGGTATCTACAATCCTAAAATGCTATTGGAAGGGAAGGAAACAGGTCCGCGACGTGGGAAGTGGTGAAGGAAGTAGTAAAGGCGAGCTGTTCGGGGTATGGGATCTGTTTATGACCATTAGATTAAGGTATTTGCAATCCTAAAATGCTATGGGAAGGGAGGAAAACAGGTCTGCGATGTAGGAAGTGGTGAAGGAAATAGTCAAGGCAGGTCTGGAGTGTGGAAACTGTTTATGACTATTAGATTATGGTATCAAAATTCCTAAAATGCTTTGGGACGGGAGGAAAACAGGTCTGCGATGTACGAAGTGGTGAAGGAAGTAGTCAAGGCGAGCTGTCCGGAGTGTGGGATCTGTTTATGACCAATAGATTAAGGTATTTGCATTCTAATAATGCTAAGGGAAAGAAGGTAACCAGGTCCGTGACGTAGAAAGTGATGAAGGGGATGTGGGAACTGTTTATGACGATTAGATTAAGGTATCTTGGTATCTAAAATCTTAAAATTCTATGGGAAGAGAGGGAAACAGGTCTGCGACGTAAGAAGAGGTGAAGGAAGTAGTAAGGTGAGCAGTGTGGAGTTTGGGAACTGGAAACCGTTTGTAGCAGTTAGATTAATGTATCTGCAATGCTGAAATGCTATGAGAAGGGATGGAAGCATGGCCACGACATAGAAAATGGTGAAAGAAGTAGTAAAGGCTAGCAGTGCGGAATGTGGGCAATGTTTGTGGCAATTAGATTAACGTATCTAAAATACTAAAATGCTATAGAAAGTGATGAAAACAGGTCCACGATGTAGGAAGTGGCTTAGGAAGTAGTAAAGTATGAACATATTGTGAGAACCGTCTGTGGCAGTTAGATTAATGTATCTTCAATCCTAAAATGCTATGAGAAGGGAAGGAAACAGGCCCCACGACGTAGGAAGTAGTGAAGGAAGTAGTAAAAGCTGGCAGTGCAAAGTGAGGGAACCGTTTGGACAGTTAGATAAATGTATCTAATACTTAAATGCTATGAGAAGGGATGGAAACAGGTCTATGACGTAGGAAATGGTGAAGGAAGTAGTAAGGCTTGCAGTGCAGAGTGTGGGAAGTGTATTTGGCAATTACATTAATGTATCTGCAATCCTAAAATGCTATGGGAAGAGAGGGAAACAGGTCCACGACGTAGGGGATGTTGAAGGAAGTAGTAAAGGTGGACAGTGTTGAGTGTGGGAATGGATTAATGTGTCTGCAATGCTAAAATGCTATGGGAAGAGACTGTAGACTGTAGGTTAAAATGATTATGAAGCACGAATCGTTACATATTTCGATACGTATTCAATAGTTTACAATATAGAAATTTACAACTGAGTTGACAACAGCTGAGTTTTATTCCATAGAGGCTAAAAACGAATTGTATTCCCTAAAGAGTAAAAATGCTACTTTAGACCCACAAAGCATTCACCAATGACGACTGTTTTTACTGCAGTATGACAAAAACAATATAATATGAACCCTTGATGACTCCGCTCAATTTTGTGGATGCCTCTGCGAACGCCACCTAGTTTTAACTTTAAAAACATTTACTGCCAATTGTTTAAATTTATTCGGCAAATGGTTGTACAGCTTCAGGCCTGTATAAAAAGGACATTTTTCAAATTTTGTTGTCCGATGGATTGGGTAACTGTAAAGGTTCTTGTTCCTAGTGTTGTATTTATTTTTTATTAAGAACTTTTCAAAATCTTTTTTATTTTCATGGACATAATTAAGGCTTTCATAAATGAACAGGCTGGGGAAAGTCTGGAGAAGTCTTTCATTGCTTTGTCCTCCAAGTGGTCGTCTTACTTGTGGTACTCCTTGGAATACATTTTTAGCGAATTTTCCATATCGAGAATAAGTTATTACTGTAGTACTCGTAGTGAGACCTCGACCCGGGAGCGATTTCCTTTTTCGTTCTGAGGTCTCTAGAAGCCGATAACACCATCCTTTCAAATTCATATATATATTTATATATGTGTACGTTAGCGCGATAACTCGAGCAAATATTTTCCAATTTTGATGAAATGTAGTACAAACATATAAACCAACGTTTATTCGAACAAGTTCGCGAACCAGCATGATCGGTTTTATGGGGTAAAAATGGGTTTTTACAGTTTTTGACCCTAATAACATAATTTAGCAACTTCTTTCCAAACCATTTTGTAGAGCTTAAAAAAACAAATAATTAAGTATATTGAAGCGTTATTATGCGCCTAATGGCTACGGAGAAAATAAAAAAAAAACTGTAAATTTAAAATTCCCATGTTACTTTTATGGAGAAAATTGTAAACTGTTGTAGTTTGCTTGTTTATGAGCATATTTTTATCAAATTTTTAAAACGCATTCATTTTATACTAAACTATTAACATTTTACAAGTTAGGATGTGAGTAAAATACTGTACCGAACCGATGATGGTAATTAGACCAGAGCCATACCTTATTGACGTTATCGGTGCACCACAGACCCTTATTTATCAGTTAATAAAGCATTTATTCAGTCATTCAGCACATTACAAATTAGCAATAGACATCGTCACTATCAGTGTATAGTTGTAGTGTTAATACACTATTATTGTGTGTATGACTAATTTTGAAGTGTTTGTTTTGAAAATGTATATGTCCAGTTTCAAAGGCCCCAAGAAAATACCATTTTTTTAGCATTTTTAAGGCTGACATCTTCCTGTCTCAATTTAATACTTAGTTTATGTTTACAGGTACCCAAGAGCAAGAAGTATGAAGTGGATCTTTGGCATTTGTTTGGTGCAATACTCACATCTTACATGACTGTGTCGTGTCTCTCTAGTATAGCTTGTATACTACTTACTCTTGCTGTGATTTTTATTTTTAGAACATATTGTTATGTTTGTACTTTACTTTATGCATACTTTTGTTTTTATACGTATAAAAACTTTTCTTTTGTTTTTATAAATGGGACGGGTGGCGTCGTCGTGTAATCCAGCTACTAGGAGGTTACGAATTGTGGATATTTATAGGTATGCACTGTGGATGCGATACTCCCTGGTGTGGATTAACGTCCGCACTAGTGAGTACTACGACTATCCGCAGTAATATCCTGAAAATTATACCAAATTGTATATACCAAGGCAAAAATGTGGTTCGGATTCCACTATAAACTGTAGGTCCCTTGGTTGCCATTAGCTGTATGGGCTATTAATTAACAGCTGTGTCTAAGGAATAAGTCGGCCATAGTCACTAACAAGACTACAAGATCAGGCCACTCATCCTACACTCATCTCCATTCATACTTGGCTTAAAATACTTACTTTGTATGGTCGCCATTTCTTTGAAAAGTATAAAAGTATAAAGTATAAGTATATATTTTTTAAACTTATTTTACCAGCTCAAGCAATACGGATAGTTTTAACATCAAAACTGGCAGCTATAAATGTTATCAAAACTGAACCATCAATAACAATCACTTTTCAAAGAATACTCTATAATTAATTACTAACCAACTCAAGACCTTACAGGTTTCAATGTTTTATAAAAATATGCATACTATGTGGTATATGGTCATATAAATTACTTATGTTTAGATAAGAGTGGAAGTCTTAAATAACTCTATCAGTTAGTTCTAATCTGCAGCTAAAAAGTAGATTTGGGGTCTAATATGTGAATTTTATTTAGGGTCATGTCATGCCCATTTTTTACTTTCTATAATTTTAGCAGTAAAGCTCTGAATTTGTCTCATGTTACAGAGTAAGAGTAAATACTTTGTACTGTATTCCAACTGTACCTGCCATAATCTTCTTAATACCATTGTCAAATTTTAGTTCGTTTGGGTATCAAGTGTCAATTTTGTTATCATTAAAAACTCAACATAAATAATTAACTTATTGGCTTGCATAAAAAATAGATAAAAAATATCCCGCTGCAGCAAACCTGCAGACTATGCAAATTTCCGTTTGCCTGATTTGATTTACAATTAATTCAATTCTATTTAAAAAACATTAAGTTTAAAAGTTCTTAGGTCTGCTGCTACAGGGAGGCTAATAAAGTGTGTTTTTAGAAGAATATCAATAGCTTAGGATAAGATAAATAAATTTACCAAGTTTGATCAAAATATATCCATAAACAAACAAACTACAAGATTTTTTATAATATTCTTCATAAGAATAACATGGGAATTTAAAATTTAAAATTTTTTGAGTTTTCTCCGTAACCAATAAAGGTACAAAAAAACTTAAACATAATAAATTATTTGTTTTTTTAAGCTCTTCAAAATTATCTAGAATGAAATTGGGGAGTTTTGTGTTTTGAGGGTCAAAATTGAGAAAACCCCCATACCCCATAAAATCCCCCCTAAAACCACGTTCCCATGGTCCGATCATGCTGGTTTGCGAACTCATTTAAGTTTATCCCGCCCTACACCTTCAAGCTAAATTTAATTGAAATCGGACAAAAATTAATAAATCAAGTTATTGTGTTCACGGACACATATCTCTCTCTCTCTCTCTCTCTCTCTCTATACAGGGTGCAGCAAAAGTCAGCGTACCGAAAGTGCAGCTAAAGTACAGCTAGTAATAAATATAACTATAACAGTACTATTGTAAGTACCTGTTAGAGAAGCTGCTCAAAGTGACCACCTCCATTGTCTATACACATGTAGTACCTTTTCAACACTGAATTGCAAATTATTTTACATAGTTGTGGTGTGAATATAACATCAAAAGGTTCAGTTATCAATTATTTTAAATATTCTAAACTTTGAGGTTTCTCTGAAAACACGTAAGGAGGTTGTGTTCCAGGAAACTGTTGTTCATATGCTGCAAGAACATCCGTATGATTACGATCAAATTTACACAGATTTTTAAAAGAAATACTCGTTGGTCTATAGATAGTTTGCGATTTATAATACTAAACACTGATGTATAGAAGTTAATAGAACAATCACTACACTACACTAACCAACTTCACTTCACGGTCACAGGCGGAATATTGACAAAACAAAAAATCCTTGATAAAGAATAAACTAAGGCAAAATAAAACATGACTTGACGTTAGATTAAATAAGGAGTGAAAGTAAGAGATAAAAATAGCGCGAGAGATAAACAATGACGCTTACCGGTCTGCAGCGGTACGCTGACTTTTGCTGCACCCGGTATATATATATTTTATGGACCGTGAGAGATCTACCAACTGTCCTCCTTCAATCATCTTGTTGATCTTATTACTAACACCTCTTGTATGCTAATTGTCTTTAAGTTTACCAATGATATGACACTCTAAATTTGAAAAAATAAACTGTTTGCTGAATGGTTGAATGATGGTAAATTTCCTTAAAATTGACAGATTTTAGTGAGATATTTGGATAACCTTTGTTGATGTCTAAATTGATAAAAATGCAAAGATGAATCATGTTATTTGAGATGATTCGTTGACTAACATATTATACTGTGACTCCTGTTTACCTCTTTATTGTTATCTCAAAAATAATGTCATGGCGACCAACTAACCCAAAAGACCCATGTTAAATATCTAAAAGATTAAATTCACGTAGGGGAAAGCCCTATAGTCCGATTTGTAAAATTTCAGATTTATACCTTCCCATGGTTGGTTACTAGGACTGTGCTAAATTTCGTGCAGATCGCTTTAGCCGTTCAGGAGGAGTACAGTATTTGTAAAACAAAAGCAGGATTTTAGTATAAGTGCTTCGCTCCGCTCAATTACACACTAATACAGAGTCAAGCCTAATTATTAACTATAGGCTAATTTGTTAAATATAAAAATTAAAATTGACTATTTTACATGCTGCAAAATTACACCTGTATATGCTCATAGATACATGCCCAGAAAACAACTTTCTTACAAACAGCTGATAGTAACAGTTCAGAGTTAGATTTAAACTTAACACTAGTGTACCTTTTGCTCGAATTCGAGCAATTGTGAAGCATTACAGGCGACTCAAAGATTATGGAAATACTCACGATCTACACAACAGTTAGATATAATCAAAATCTTTTGTAAATATCTTATCTTTTTTTCAAAAAGCTGATCTTGTGTTTTTAGTGTAAAAAAAAAACATTATTTATATTTCTTTTACTTGGTTGTGTTCTATGACTTTTTCTATGGTTCCATTGTTTGCAAATCGGTTATTTCAATGATTGCTCAAGAAATGTAGCACAGTGTAAATTCAGTTTTATTTTTACCCTATATCAAATTGTCCAGGATTTCTCGCTCTTTTCCATTGTAATAATTACACCAACCCAAGTTTCGTCTACAGATGCAATATGCCAAAGAATATCACCTACGTACAATCTCCAAGAAGTGGTAAAAAAGGCAGAAACCAACCCATACAATAGATATAAGTTAACTCCTTAAGAAATAATTTTAAAAGTTACTGTGATATTAGGATTTTCCACTGATTTGGTAATAGAACATTATATTGCAAAACATGACACGATGCAGAAGAAAATCAATTTTAAAATCAGAAAAATCCATTGCAAATACTGTACTTCACTACTACTTTTGACAAATTCAATAAATCACAATTTAAATATTAACAGCTGTTGCATTAAAAAGTAGTGTAGAATTATGCATATGGTTGTAATGTAAACACATCTGAAGAGGCAACTTCAAAGGCTTCAGGGGCAGAGCCCCAAGGGAATTTACCTCTTTCCTCTTTTGATGGCTCGTCTACAGACCAAGACCTTTCTTTAGAGACCCCTACCAAGTTTCTACCCCCAGCCGTTCTCTCAAATTAGCTGTGACAAAAACCCCGTTTTCCTCCATAAGAATAACATGGGATGGGAATTTTAATGCCACGGGGGCAGAGCCCCAAGGGAATTCACCATGTTTCTCTTTTGATGGCTCATCTACAAACCAAGACCTTTCTTTAGACACCTCTACTGAGTTTCTACGCCCAGCCGTTCTCTCAAAATAGCTGTGACAAAGAAAAACCGTTTCAAATTAATATATAGATACTCTTATTTGAAAATAACTTTGCACTTTTAAAGAGTGGTAGGGCAGAGCCCTGTAGTCTGACGTGTACTTTTCTGATTAATACTTTCCCATAGTTGGTCACTATGACCATGCAAAAATCCGTGTGAATTGCTTCAGCCGTTCGGGAAGAGTGTGCGGGAACTAATTTGAAGTGTGTAGTAAAAGAGCTTCCCTTGCTCCGCTCAATAAATACCAAACAACTGGCTAGGAGTAAGCACACACGTTTCTGCTTGTAAAACTTAATTATTGAGATTTCAAACTACTTAAAAAAAATGTTTATGCCTTTGCAAAAACTTGTTTGCATTTACTAAGAGTGTTTTTATAACAAGTACCGAGGACCCAATTCCAAACAATCACAAACAACTTTTTGTTGTTGGAAAATTATATTTATTTATTATTATTTTGTTAAGTTTTTATGGTAATTAACTTGTAATTGTAACTATCATCTTGTGAGTTTGTTAACTTATCCAAGCATCACACAGATTATCAGAAATATTGTGTGTTTATATCATTAGTATTATTTTCATCAGTTCAAATTTTACCCTTCAATCTTTAAGATGTAAAACCAAACATACTTGAGCTACATAACCTAGAATATGCTTTTATTTTGATTTTTTAATGTTTTTTGTCTGTATTTTTATTTTCACCTATATTTTAGGAAACTATTTTTGGTATTTTTTTTTAGTATGAATGAGATGTTTATGAATTGCATGAATTTTAAATGTGCCTTGTTGCTTAGCTAGCATAAAAACAAGTAATGATTGATAAACTATTATTTTAAGAGTAGTGTTGATTCGTTATTGTAGGCTATCTGTGTTGGTAATTTCCTTAATTTTTTAAACTAAGGTATACATGTAGATTTTTCATCACCAAAGGCAAGCCAGTATTATTTTATTTATTATATTTAACTTTACTGTAACTTAAATTGTAGTATTTTAGTTAGGCTTATTGTTGTATCTTATACTTTAAAAACCATTATGTTGTTAAAACAAAAATGATTTATTTCAAATC